TGTTTTCCAAAGTGGAATGTGAAAGGTGACGGAAATGAAATGCCAACTATTGTTTATTTCCAGCATATGAACAGTCAGTTCTAATGTCTGTGCTGCAGGGACCGGGGTAACTTAGATTTTTTTAAAAAGAACACGCCTTCAAACTGTCCGGTATGCTATTACACAAAACATCACAGAATTTTAAAAATGTGTCTTTTTTGCATTTTCCAGTTTCAGACCCTATGAACAGAGTTGCCAACCTCCAGGTAGAGCCTGAAGATCTCCTGACAGCTGAGATCAGTTCCCCTGGAGAAAATGGCTCCTTTGGAAGGTGAACTCTATGACTACCTTGCTGAGGTCCTTCCCCTCCCCCGACCCTATCTTCCTCAGGCTCTACCTCCAAATTTCCAGGGATTTCCCAGCCCAGAGCTGGCAACCTTACCTGTGAAGAAGCCACTCTGAGAAACTCTTATGATTCATACCATTCCAGTATGGAATGCGGTGGCGCAAGCGGTAGAACGCATGCATTAACATCATAGCGAACGCATGCATTAACATCATAACGAACAGCCCTATGGCTGTTCGAGACCCAACGCGGCCGGGGTAAGCTCCCGGCCCTAGTCCTAGCTCCCGCCCACCCAGCGGTTCGAAAGCAAGTAAGAACAATAAAGCAAGTAGATAAATGGGTACCTGCCCTTAGAAGGGAAGGGGGCACCCTCCTCCAAGTGGGGATGTGGTGGGAACATTGGTGACGGCGACAGTGGCGGTGGAGCAACGGTGCGGCGATCCCTGGTGGCCAGAAAGAAAAAAGCAGCAGCGTCCGGCACTCAGCAATGGCAGAGGTGGAGTCACGGAAGAGTGCACGGTGACATAAAGCACAGGCGCGGCGGAGCCGAATGTGGACATAGCCGGGCCGGGGCGGTTGCGGGACGCGCGCCAGAAGATCGCTGAGCTGAGAAGACTGGCCTTATAGACAGCAAGAATGGGACGCCGACCCCAGTGGACCACTGGAGGAAGAAAGCCGGGGAACACCAACCACCTGAGTGCCGGTAGGCAGCCCCACCCCCTGTAATATATGTGGCCATAGTCTAGGGAATTAACTTGCACTTGCAACATATCTGTAAACCGCTCTGAGACCTCCGGGTCTGAGCGGTATATAAACCGAATGTAATAATAACAACAACAACAACAACAACAACACTTTTCCAATAAAAGAATTTTATCAGCCAAGATCAGCTGAGAAAGCAAAACAAGTATTTTGCAGACTCTGCTGGTCAGTAGCTTTAGGGCTGACATACTGAAGAAATGAGGCAACCCATATCAACTTATGCCATACCGTGAGAAAAATAAGAAATCACGGCTAGCCAAAGAATTTCTCAAGCACATCTATAGAAAGACTAAACCTTTCTCATTTTCTTCTTGCTGGCTGAATGCTTAAGGACTAGTAAGTTGGGAATGTAAACAAGCCTTTGTTGTACAGCTACACAAATAGTGCTGTTTAGGCAAAGACCACAAGGATAAAAATACGGTCACTTTTAATGTAGAGTACATGGAGGTGGCTCTTGTATGCATGTGTGATGATGCCTTGTATGTCTTTTTCCATAGTGTGGCAATAGGATTCATTCTAGCTAGCTGCTAATCGAATTCCTTCCCCAGCATCCAATCAAATTATTTTGTAAAATAAATATGATCGTGTATTTTTCTTATTACACCCTGCTATTTCTCCAAAGATTACAGAGCACTTTACAGACGGTTCTCAAGCAGTCTCCCATGATGGAGGAGCCAGACTGCTTTACAACCTCAGTTTGTGTTTTCAAATCATTCTCTGGCCCAGATGCATGGGTCATGTTAAGAATAACCTCCCTGTTCTCATTAAATGGAAACATGGAAGTTAAAAACCAACAGATAAGATACTTAAAAAGGAGTGAAAAACAAAATGTGAAAGTGACTATGTCAAGCTCATAATGTACAAAGATTGCAATCCTAATTGTATTTACCAGCAAAACGAATACCTCCTAGTTCTGTCTCACAAATCACTAAAACATTACAATCTTCACTGAACTAATACACATGCGTAACCCACATTTCTGCCCCTTTAAGATAACTGGCTATCATTTTAGTTTCTTATTTTTAAAGGTGGGTGTAGTTTAGTTCATATGGTCCATCAGCCCCAGCAACCAGTTTTCCCAGGGTCAGATGAGACCACTCAGGGGGAGAGGAATGAGGGAAAGATCTGTGATCCCTGCACATACAGATCACTGGCTCGCCCACCTGAGCAGGGCTTTCTGCAGGTGCAACCCTGAAAATGGGCAAGATTAACAACTGCCCAGACACATCCATTCCCTGTTGCAGCCCCCACTTTATGCAGTGGCCTATCTGATGGGGTTAAGAAGACTCCACTCTCCTGCAAGTAATAGAGCTATACTGTAATAGAAGGGTTCAGAAAGATGCTTTTAACAACCAATAGGGACTTTGGACTATACGACTGTGTATAAGTACATGCTATTATCCTACTTCATAATTTCTGCAACATAATATCTCATGTTAATAATTATACTTTGTTTCATCTTTTTCTCAGATTTCTGCAAATCCTAATCTTATCACACTGCTGACTGGACATCCCATCTATATTGATTTACACTGTGTCATCCACCCGGAGTCTCAGTGAGAAAGGTAGATTATAAACAACATAAAATAAATAAACCCACAGGCTTGAGTAGAATCTCCCCTGCACACTCCCCCCCATTAATGGACAGTCAGCTGCTGTCAGTGTCTCATCCCTTCTGAAGCACATTTAGTCCCCCACCAGGCTGGTTCTATTTTCTTTAGAGCAATATCTGTACATCCGGGGGAGTTTCTTGAGTATGTAGAGACCTCTACTTTGTTTGCAGGCTACCTGGTCTTGTTGCTTTCACGACTAGCATGGAGGACAACCACTTTATTATTGGATGTAGCTATAAAACACCAATCGATATCCTTATTATGCTTTTCAGTAAAACCAAAATAAAATTGCCAAAGTTGGTTCAGAATATTGCATTCCAGCAAGAAAGCAGTTAACTAGCTGTAGCCATCTTAGGAGAAGTCCTCTCAATCAGCCAAGTTTTTAATAAGGCAGGAAAACTCAAAAATGTAGCTGGGCAGACTCTTCTCGGCAGAGAGTTCCACAGGATTGATGCTATTACTGAAAAAGCCCCGCTCCAAGTTTTCGTCAGCCTTACTTATGAGAAGAGAAGGACGTAAAGCAGGGTCTCTCCCATCAAGTTCTAGAGTGTGCATTAACAGATCCACGAAATGAAGCTAGGGGAATGGGGAGGGAGGGGGGGGATGAATTGCAAACATGAAGGATATCCCAGATTTGCACAAATATGACATAACAATACACTGAGGATTACAATCCCCCCAAATAATAGAAAACAATGATAACTTCAGAAAAGAATGCCCAATGAGCTCTCAGTGGTGATTTTGGAGGTTCCTAGACAACCACAGCAATGTTGCTGAGCCTTCCAAGCCTTGGCATGCTGAGTCAGAGAGGGAGAACGTGGGGGGGGGGGGGGGGGGGGGCAGAACAGCCTGCTCCTGTCCCCCCTTCCCTGTCATGTTTCCTGATGGAGGAGGACTTGCTAGCAGCTGTCAAGGAACTGAGACCTTTGCCTAGTTCCTTGGTCTTTCACACATTGGTTCAGGCTTGATTCTGACTCTAGGCTGCGAACTGAGTTGAAAAGTTTAAGTGGGAAAATAACTGTTGCTGGGAAGATTCAGCAAAGCTAACCTCATGACTGGGTGCAGGGAGGGAAACTCCTATCTTTAACTCCCTTCCAAGGATGAAACCATGTCACCATGGTAACCAATTAGCCACATTTCATTCAATTAGACATCATGATTTGCACCTGTGGGAAGTGGTCAGACAGATGGCTCACCCCCATTTCATCCTCAGGTCACATGCTTAGTAACAGGTCATACCAGCACTGACATCATGAGCCACAGTTCTGATTGGCTTATGGGCCCAAACCACATTGGATCCTTTGGCCTTAAGAGTTAGCCTTTTCAATTAGCAACTGGCAAGGCATGAGTGGCCTCTTGCTCTTTGACTCTGGATGTGTTCTTAGAAACTTGCTTGACATGGGTCAGACACTCTACCCAAGCAAACTCTGGAAAGAGTTGGACTTTGCTTGCTGAACAACTTTGAAATGGTAACAACATGGAGCGAACAACATGGATTTAGATCTGAAAGCACGCCATCAAATTTTTTAGCACTGCGAGTACTTTATTGCTGATTATTAATTACATGTATATGAATGAGTATGTATTGTATGTAGTTTAAAATTTTTATGGTTATGCCAACTAGGTACATTGTAGCAGGAACTCCTTTGCATGTTAGGCCACACACCCCTAATGTAGTCAATACTAATGCATTTCTGTTGTTGGGTGTGGCCTATTATGCTAATGAGTTCCTACTGGGCGTGGCCAACTCGGGAGCCAGCTGGAACTCCTTTCCTGTGCGTTCCTGCCCAAAAATAGCCCTGAGGCATAGCAATATATGTACAGGGTATAAATTAAATAAATAAATAAGTGAGAGTGGCTATAAGCACTTTTACCAGCACTGTAGTGGTTTGCAAAGTAGTCACAGGAGATTACTAAAGGCTCATCTATTTTACTAGGTGGACTGGCATTCACGGCATGTGAGTGAACCTCAGAAATTTTTCAGGGCCAATAAGCTTCCTGATGCCTCAAACCTCACCAGTTAGTCACCGCTTACTTGTTTGATAATTCTGTCCCCACCCCTGAAACTTACAACAGAAGTCCCCAGCAAATGTGATTACCCTACACTGGTTCAACGTTCTCCATGCATCTCTACCAAACCCAGGAAACAGTTCCAAGATTCCTCAAAAAGTGCCTCCCCAACACAGTTTTAGGTACCTAAGCAGAAGGCACCACAATACTAGACTGACAAATCAAGATCACCAAACGTTAGTTCTAGTTGCAACACAATACTTTTTATATTGCAAAAAAGGCTCACTCACAGGTAAGGGATTCTTCCTCATCTCGAACATCCGGGTGGCACCAAAGCTGAGTGAGGCAATGACAGGGTTCCTTCCCAGTGCAGGCTCATCATCACTGTGCCAGTCCACGCTGTCCTTCTCATTTCGGTACAGATTGCAGAGCAGAGAGTTGAAGGTGTGTTTAGTGATCTCTTCAATGCGATCTTTCAGCATGGTCAACAGGGGATGCCACTAGAATCAAGTCAACATTATTATTACTTACATTTATATCCTGCCTGTCTTCCATCAGTGCAGTGTAAACAGAACTCCCAAATGCACTCATCAGACTTGCCCTGGATCATGTGCCTTCCAACATTGCTCTGTGCCATCAGAAAAGACTCTAAATCAGCATATACAGGATGGGACATGAGCATGACAAAGAAAATCCCATAACACATCAAAAGGGAGACACAGTGTTAGGCTGCTGAACTTGGAAGAACAACCCAAAGTTCCAACTGATCCCTGCAAGGTTTTAACCATCAACAATGAATATTAAAAGAATTGCCCAGAAAGTGCCTCAGAACTTTCCGTATTCACTTTCGTTGGTAGTCAGACCGGAGGGGACCCACCTACCCACAACACAGGAACCATTGTACATTTTCGTACTATGTATATTTACCTTTCCTCCTCTCTTTTCCTGTATCCTAAAAGACTATCACTGAAAACACTTGCATCTAACAAACAACGGAAGTGCCACTGGCATGACCTGTCTTGGTGTATAACCTGCTTGTAGGGCACCCATCTAAGTCTACAGGGTTATGCCAAATTTCAAGCATAGTCCTTCATGCTGATTATAGCATGCCTAGATATTTTATCTCTCAAGGCCATGCAATCATGTCCCTTCCTCGTAACTGCCACTTCTTTGTAAATGTGGTCCGAACTGGCAGGGAGAAGCTAAACAGTAACACAGCTGCATAGCTGAGGTCCAAGCTGTGGAAAGGCTTAAAGGTTCCCTTCATAGACAAACTTGCTTGGCACTCCTGGACACTTCATCAGTTGTGTTTCTCACTGGCTTGATACTAAATCTTTCTGTCACACGTGCACACAAATATACTCTCACATGGGAACTGTGGACTTGAGCAAAAGCCCACTACTCCCATGTGAGAGTATGTTCGTACCCACATGCGTGACAGACTAAGCCATGTTCAGCCATCATGTCAAGTGTATATGACATTCAAACTGTGTCATATAGTCAGTTCACTGCTGGACATGGAATCTGAGGCTACAGCCTCTGAGCGGTCCATACAAGAGCAGCATAGTATGATGCATCACCAAGAGACAGAGCATGATTCTTAGCATTGTACATTTTAATACACAGCATTATACCAATAATATATAAAGGCTAGTAAATGTCATTATGTTTACCACCTGTCAACCACATTTTTATTCAACCTTTCTTCCAAGGAACTTTGTGGGAACGGGTGTGCACATGATTTCCCCCTCTAGCATTTTATCCAGTCAACAACGCTGAGAATCAGAGAGAGGAACTGGTCTGAGACAGCAAGGTCTCTCAGTGTGCTTTGATGACAAAGTGGGGATTCTCCCAGTCCCGCACTCTTATCACCATACCACATTGGGTCTCATCTACCTAGAATCAGTGAGTCAGTGTACGCTTAAGGTCCAAAATTTTAAAGCAAGAACTGAACTGCATAATTGTGCCTTCATTACAAAGTATAAACCAGTTTAAGTACCCAACAGTGATCTCTACAAATTGCAGCTCTGAGAAGAAATTACAGGTCTCTAGCAAATAACTGCTTGAGTTATCTCAAAACTACAGTTCCCAGGGTTATGTTGGGTGTAGTCTTCACAGTTCAACTGATTTTGAACTTGTTTAAATGCACAAGTTACAGATGTTCCTGTCAGGAGATGGTATGACTGGTGATCTTATATTTTCTATTCAATGTAATGAAACCCCTATTAACATGGGTATGCAAAAAAGGAAAATCATTTGATTGCTGGAAGTATAGAACTGAGCAAGAGTCACTCTTCCTTCACACTCAGCCAGTACTACTCAGCACTTGATCACTGCAAGATTTTCTTTGGTTTTCCCCTTCACTGCAACAACCCTCTTGGTGAGCTCAGCATACAACGAATCCTGTTCAGGCTGCAAGCATTATTCAGTAACCGAAGATGCCATCACAGTCCAATTGTTATGGAAAATTCACTAGGTTACCACCACAGAAATTATTCTCAAAATGGATCCTACTGGCCACAGTAATTTTTACAAGAAAGTTAAACTATGCTTACAGTTTTAATACTGAGGGACAGAACTTTGCAGTGCAGATGAATGATGAACAAGGCAGGTTTAAAACATGGACTAAGTAAATTGTAGCAGTCAAATGTATATGAGACAAACATCCGAGTTCAATGGTCCACCACCACTGCTGAAATATGCAGTCACTCTCAAAAGAATCCTGATTTCAAACAAATGCCAGTACTACTTTCAGTGCTTGTGGCATCTCCTATAAAGGGCTAAGGAATAAGCAATCACTACAAGTCCCCCCCCCCATTCTCTGTAACAACAGCTACTTATAAATACATACATACATTAGGATTTGGTTGCAAAGTCAGCTGAGAGTAAGTGTATGGAAGTTCACCATACCATGCTGTGAGTCTGGGCTCCTCATAAGTTAGATCTAAAAAACAAACAGAACAATCTGTATAATTCCTATAAAAAAACAGTCAATAGTTCCATAATGGGACGAGTTAAGTATGTCCCAGTAAAGATCCCTGTGCACAGCTTGAAAATTGAAGTGGGGAACCCCACCCCAGGATTCCTTCTGTACTTGATTTTCCTGCCTTCTCCATATCAAAGCTTAGCAAATCCCATTTTCAGCATACTATATGGGACCCAGAAGCCATATGATAAAGCCAAGAAGATGTCTAGGAGTTCATATACCAGCTTCTGTAATCTTGTGTGCAATGCAGAACTGCAGAAAGTGAGAAACAGCACAACTGCCCTCATGTGGACAAAACCAGAACAGCATGCTCACAGCCATTATGTCTAGGATAGATATCTAAAGTTTTGCTTTAGGGCAGGATCCCCAAAACCTTTTTGAGCCTGTGAGCACCTCTGGAATTTTGAGAGTGTGGGGGGGTGAGCACTACCCTAAAATGGCTGCCTCGGGAGGTGGAGCCAAATGGGGTATTTTCCCTCCTCCCACCTCCTGGGAAGAAGGGACTCTTGAAGGGGGAATGGAATCAGGCATGAAGGAAAGCCCAGATGCTTACCAGTCCTCCTCATCTTCCAGTGGGAAACCCTTTCATTTGAATGAGGGCAGCCAATAAAAGGGCCCCCACTCACTTTCTCAAAAGCTTGGTAGGGGTGCCGAAGGAAGTCCTGGTGGGCACCACAGCACCCACAGGTACCACACTGAGGAACCCTGCTTCAGGGCAAGCCCATCACACACGTTTGCCTTCTGTTCTGGTTCTGAGATTGAACTGCCAAACACATTTCCCCACTCCCATGCAACGCTTCGTTCCGTCTTGTTTTGCAATCCCTGTGGAAGTGCCAAGAAGGGTTGTATAAAATGAGTGCTGGTGCTCCATCCCTAAATGATCTGCACTGTGATACTGCTCCAGGCAAGGTCAGTGCTCTACAGTCAATTGCTGGAGACTCCATCCTAACATCCCTTATTAATGGCACTGGACACCCAGGAATCGTAAAAAGACCACAGAAAGTAGGGTGATTTCTGACTTTTCAAAAGGTATACAGGAAAGTATGCTATGCATGGTCAAAGTGTCCAAATCAGAACGGGTTCGCAGTGGTAAAAGCAGAGGGTGTGATTACATGAAAGAGTGACAGTACAATGACCTTTTCTGGTGTGTGTTCTCTGCCTCCAAGGGACCTCCTGGAGGAGCTGTTCAAACATCCAGTCAGCTTCTTGTGAATCAATGAAGCCAGGGATCAAATGAAGCCTATCACAAGAAAGAGGCAGATTATATGGGAGCATAAGACTCTCCATTTTCAAGACAGCATGTGCTGTACCTGTATAGTCATATACAACTGCATTTCTGTTTCAGGCAAATACCCTTCTACCTTTTTTTGATGCATGGTTTTCATTCAAAGTTAATTCAACTGTTTTGTGGGATATGGGATCTTTTTAAGTCAATGATATTACATGTACTTTTCACAAACAGAGGTCAGTTAGGACTACTATATGTGCTTTTAAAGGCTGGTATTGTTTACCTGCAATACTACAGATCAATTCTTTGGTATTCACTGAATGGCACACAACTAAGAATCCCAGTGCACAGCTGTTTCAAACATCTCTGCTTGTTAGTGTGACTCTAAGAGTAAAGCATAAAACCACAAATGGTGTACACTGGCTCTTCATTGTGGAAGACCATGGCGGCAGAAACAATAGGACTTAGCAGAACTATTCAGAAAACATTTGTGGTCAACACAGCTGAACAGCCTCGGGAGGCTAATGAAATGATAGAGATATCCCTCATTGAAAGCATCAGGTAAGTAGATAGCTATGTAAGTGGGAGGATATCATAAGAGGACAGGTCTATCAGTGGCTACTAGCTAGTGACTAAAGGGAACTAAAGGGCAGTCAACTTCTCAATACCAGTGCCAAGAGGCAACATCAAGGGACAGTCTCAGCGTCTATGAACTGCTGTTGCACCTCCATAGTAACTAGTTGGCCACTGTGTGAGACAGGTTCCTGGACTAGATAGACCACTGGACTAAGCCATCAGGCCTCTTCTTAAGTTTTTAAACTGTTTAGAGCCAGAATATCTTGTTACCTACAAGGAAACAGAGATCCAACAATTCTTTGCATTTATTTAGAATACATTTGACAAGCATTTCTTACTATACCCTGTTTCCCCGAAAATAAGACCTACCCCAAAAATAAGCCCTAGCAGGATTTCTATGCATTTGTGGTATAAGCCCTAATGTGTCTTCTTGAGAAAAACTAAATATAAGACAGTGTCTTATTTTCGGGGAAACACGGTATTATAAAGACAGGTCTGAAAGTACCACTTTATCTCATAGTAACACAGTCACTGTGTGGATGATGAAAGCTGCAAAACTAGGTCATTCACAGTAAGATTTGTTCCATACTCAGAGAATTCCCCAGGTAAACAGAAACACGTGACTTTATAGATTAACTAAATGAGCAAAAAAAGGCCTTTAAAAAGGCTGATGAGGACTAAACGTGCTCCGGAAAGAATGGAACAGTGCAAGCAACTGAGGGCCAGTGGCGGTGCGGATTATCCTCCACAAGCCCAAGAGTTTAGAAAAATGCTGGGGGAGGAGATTTCCATGCTGTCATTCATCCTCTCAAAAGCTCTTTGCTGGATGCCAGCTTGTTTCTCATTTAAAAGTTGCAAAGATGTCCCAAGGAATTCCTTTTACTGAAACCTGAAGTTCCATGTGATCATGTTGCAGGTAAGTAACCCAAAAAGAAATATATCCAGGAGCATTTCTTTAGCTATGCAGCAGACGCACAACACAGCTGCTGGTGAAGAATACTACAGACATGGAGAGTATCATTAGAACCAACAATTGGCTGTTTTATTATTAAAAGAAACATAATTTGGATGAAAGACTCAGGACAACAAAGTTATGTGTAATCCACCTTGAGTCTTGGAGAGAAAGGTAGACTACAAAAAGGCAAAATACTGATCATAGAATCATAGAATGTTAGAGTTGGAAGGGACCTTGCAGGTCATCTAGTCCAACCCCCTGCACTCTGCAGGAGCGTAGCCGAAAGATGGTCATCCAGCCTCCGCTTAAAAATGTCCAGCGAAGGTGCACCCACCACCTCCTGAGGCAGTCTGTTCCACTGCTCAACCACTCTTACAGTGGTTAGGTACAGTTAAGAAGTTTCTCCTGATATTTAGCTAGTAACAACTCCCTTGTGATTTTCACCCATTAGATCTAGTGATATATGGAGCTGTAGCAGGAGGAAGCGGCAAGGAATTCTCCCTCTGCCAACCAAAATCCCTTCCCATCAGTGGAGGTTTTTGCACAGGATTCAAACAGATGACATTTTTCTGTCACAATCACCAATTGTTAGAGAGGTGTCTTATCTGCTTACCGAGACACTCCTGATGGCAACGCGCTGATCTCATACTGGCCCTGTTTCCTGCAGACAAGGTGAGAAAAAAGCCATCATGGGACTACCACAATGAGAGAACTTGTATAACTGACAAGACATACTAAAGATTCAAGCATACATATGGGCTATCAAAGAAAATGTACTACCTTTATTTAACTGTACAAGCAGCAAGAGCCACAATGGCTGCTAGTCACTGGGGCCATTTCTATTGCTGTTATGATGTGAATGTGGGAGAAAGGCTAATGTTCTGCATCTCCCCATGTGAGAAGAACAGGATTCAGCACACGAAGCATGGAAATCATACTCACTCTATGATTATGGGCTCTGGGACTTTTCGTACCACCTAAGCCGCAAAACAACAAATATGTAAATTGTACAGCAGGAACACAGACCCATCTCAGGAAAAAAGGGCTGGTTTGATAACTGAACCATGAGAGCATCTATATTTTCATAAACACATGCAGAACAGTTGCTTCAGAAAAACATCCTATGAGCCAAGGCACTGCACACCAGGCTCAGTAGTGAAGAATCTGCTTCTCCAGTTAAAAGGAAATAGGTGAGATGGAAGAAAGGAGGGCTGCACTTACCTGTAACAATTGTTCATCGAGTGGTCACACATGGGGGTAGTGCACATGCACAGACCTGCTGCACACAGAATATTTTGAAGCTCAAAATGCCTAGAGGTGCTCCATCCCCCTCCCCCACGCTATTTCCTGCCTTTTCCAGCATCATTCCCTCAGTTTTAGTTCTCTCTCTGCTGCTGCCAGAAAGATAAAGCTATCAGATTGTTATGAGCTTGCGGCAGGGCAGGAGGAAAGAATGTGTGACTGTACAGGTGCCCACTAAATGAACAATAGTTACAGGTAAGTACAACCCTGCTTTCATCATCATGGTACCTGTGCAGTCCCACATGGGAGATTAGCGAGCAAACTTACCAGTCTCAGGAAGGCAGGTGTGAGCGCTCAGTTGAACAGAGACCACAGAGACCATGGCATCTGTGTCCATCACGTAGTATCTTGCAAAGGTACAGGAGGAGGACCATATTGTAGCCTTGCAGATGGAATCAATGGAGAGACCATGAGGAAAAGCAGTTTATGTAGACTGCACCCAAGTAGAGTAAGGTGCAGTGGACAGCCAAATCACACTTGTTTGTAACACACACAGTTTGATTCACATAACTGTCCATCTAGAAATGGACCAGGCTGACAGCTTTCTGCCCAGGCTGGGGCCTACTGAAGTGATGAACAGGTTGTCATCTTTCTAAAAGGATTTTGTTCTAAGTAGAAGAGGACTGCCCTCTGAACAATTAGAGAGTGAAGGTCTCATTCTGTTATTTGCAGTTGAGCGTATAATACTGGCAGGGTAATGCCCTGGTTTTGGTGGAACTTGGATATCACCTCAGGTAGGAACTGCAGAGAAGTGTGGAGGACTACCCTAGTGTCAAGTATTTTCAAGGAGGGAGGGTCACGTCTCAGTGCCTGTAGTTTGCTGACTCATCTGGCTGATGTTACGGTGACTTGAAACACTGTTTTCATACTGAGTAGACAGAGGTGACAAGTGGCTATTGGTTCAAATGGTTTACCCATAAGTTGTGAAAGCATGAGCAAGAGGCTCTACTGAGAAACCAGAGGCTGACCTGGGGGGAAAATGATTCAGTAGCCCTTTGGGGGGGAAAGTCTGGATTCCCCCTGAGCAAACAGGGACTTTCTGACAACATGAATGTTAAAGCATGGCATAGCAGCTAGAAGGACTCAAGTGGAAGTGGAGGAAAGGCCTCCTCAATCTAGGTTTCGGAGGTATTCAAAAACTTTACCTATCAGGCAGTGGGCTGATGCTCTATGGCCCATGTATAGAAATATTTCCATATGTCCGAATAGAGACACCAGGTGACTGGTATTCCAGTAGGTCTTCTTTGATAGTTTTGGGAAATTGTCTGTTGGGTCACTGACTGTACCACACGGTTAAATGAAGGCTGACAATGTTTGGATGTAGGAATGGGCCCCCTGCAGGAGGAGGATGTGTTCCTGTGGAAGTGGAATGTAGCAGTTGCGGGCCATGGCTAGCAGAGTCTGGAATCATGGTTGTCTGGACCAGAGGGAAGGCAGATGTGTATCCCTGTCTCATTTAGTAGAGGACTCTGGGGATCAGTGGTAGTGGGGGAAAGACATATAGCAGGTCTCCTGTCCACTGAATTTGAAATGTCTCTCCTGGTGAGCATGGATCTTGTGAGCCTTGGGAGCAACATGATCTGCATTTCCCCTTTTGACTCATGGCAAATAAATCTATTGTAGGTGTTCCTCAACATTTGAAGATCAATGCAAGAAAATCCTAGTTGAGCTTCCATTTGGGAGATAATAGCAGGATATGACTGAGAAAGTCCACTAGTCAGTTGCTGACCCCAGTTATGTGAATGGCCTGGATGGCACCATCATTGGAGACTGCTCATTCCCAGGTTAATGTGGATATGTGGCACAGTGTGGGAGAGAACATGCTGTCTTATCTATGTAGTACATAGTTGTGATACTGTCTGTAGATATTTTTGCCAGAGACAGGCAAACATAAGGCCAACAAGCTATTGTACATGGCCTTGAGTTCTAGCATGTTGATATGGAGGAGCATTTCCTGGGAGGACCAAGTTTGGCTGACTGACACATTTTGGATGAGTGTGCCCCAGCCTGATAAGGAGGCCATGTTAACTACAGAGGCCACCAGTCTCCTAGAGTCCACCAGTGCCTGAACCATACCATGTGCTTTGGGGTGTTCAATTTTTTGTAATGGTGGTAACAAAGAGGGTTGAAAATCCTGACAAACCACAGCTGAAGTAGGCACATGCATAGCCTTCCATGGAGTACCACTGATGTGGTGGAAGTCATTAACACTTTCTAATTAACACAAACTCATTCAGGCCTCTCAAGTTTAGGATGGCTCTCACCCACCCACCCCTTCTTCTTGACCAGAAAATATCTGGAGTAGAACCCTGAGTGCCTATCTTTTGCAGGCACTTCTATGATTGTTTTCTTGCTGAGGAGGGTGTCGACTTCTGTGAGGAGTTCTGGAGAAGGGAAGGGAGAGCTGGATGACAGGGGACAGCAGGCTGGAAGAAAGACAAATTCCATGGCATACCCTGTTGACAAGATGCTGAGTACCCACTGGTCTTCAGAAATGTCTTGCTAGTTGAGTTGATGAGGATCCAGTTTCTCTGTTGGTTGATGTTCCGGGCTTGGGCTGTAATCGTCAAAAGCCTCATTTTGCAGGTTAATGGGGCTTGAGCCACTGGGACCTAGCTTTGATCTTCAGAGTGGGGAAACTTCTCCTCTGTTGGACAGGAGGCTGACTGGCAGGCATGTAGGGAAGCCTGTTGGAATAGGAAAGGTGAAGCAGTAGGTGGCCTCCCCCTCTGCATGTACAGAAGTATGAAGAAAGGCCTAGGCTTTAAGAGTAGATGGAGTAGAGGGAATCACCCCCAAGGATCTTAGCCATGAGCTTGTCTTTCTGCACCTCATCTGTATTGGTCTGGATAGGTCTGCGCCCTTGAAAGACAGGTCTTCAATTCTGTTGTATTTCCTGTGGAATTGCCGTGGACCTGAGGCAGGAATGATGATGTAATGCTATTGCCATGGCTAGGCACAGGCTGAGCAGTTTAATGAGTTTGGCTGCAGAGATGTGATGTCTGGACAGCTTTGATGCTTCTAGGGCTAACAGCTTTGTCAGCTCGTGCTTCAGGCAACATTTCTAGGTAGGGTGCAATACCATCCCAAAGGAAAAGTTGATAGCAGGCCATGATACATTGGTAATTGACAATCCTGAGCCAAGGGGAAAGGAGATATAGAGTTTTCTGCTTATTCCGTCTGGTTTACAGCCTTTTTTATAAATAAGGGCTGAATGTTGAGTGCACTTGTTTTTTCCTTGGGTGCAATCTATGACCAGAAAGTTAGCCAGGGGTGCTGCAAGAGGAAATGGCAGCCTTGCATGTAGTACATAGTTGTGATACTGTCTGTGGCTATTTAGATATTTTTCCCAGAGACAGGCAAACATAAGGCCAACAAACTATCGTACATGGATTTCAGTCTCTCCTCTCAGTTCCCTAAGCTGGGTCAGCATTTCCCAATATACATTCAAATGACTAGGTGGGACAGTCAGAGAAAAACAAAGAAGAAAGGAAAAGGGGCTGCTCAGCTAAGAACAATATAAAGGGAAATCCTATGAGGAAGGGTGAAATTGTCATAGAACCTCTCTCAGCAGCAGCAGAGAGACAATTGAGGGAAGGATGCCCTGGAAAAGGCAGGAAACAGCATGGGGGAGGGGGATGGAGCTCCTTTGGGCATCCTAAGCTTCAAAAAAATCCTCTGTAGCAGGCCTATGAGTGTGCAGTATCCATGTGTTGTACGCACAGTTTATGAAACACTTTATACTCTGCCACTAACAGGTTTAACTTAGTAGGTACACTTAGCACTTCCATAATACATGGAACTTTGGTTCATCTGTGACTGTTGTTTGGATGCATGCTGGGAAGGTAAAATGCTGAAAGAACAAAATGTTAACTTGCTATTTTTGCTGAGGCCTATGGCCTTGGCAGGCCAGCTATAACTGCACATGTCTCTGGCTAAACAAAGAACAATGGCACCTTGTAAACCATATCAGCTATACAGATACTTTTAGAATTTTACAGTCTAAGAGAAAGAAACACTTATTGTTCAGCTAAAAGAAAAAACTTTACTTGGGAAAGCCCAGCCTAAAAGGTTTTCCGCCAATCAGAGACCTGTTAGGTCAGAGTGCTGATGTTTGATGGAACCAATAATCTTGTTTTATTTGTGTGTGTCATCTTGAGTATAAAATCCTATGTCACCCATTATAACACTTGAAGAGTCTGTTGGTATTCAGGGATCCAAAACCTTGAGATCTGTACTCTTCCTTTATTAATTAATAAATATTCTAGTGAATTCCTCTCTACAGGACTGTGTCGTGTGTTTGTCAAATTGGGTTGGGAAACACAACCAGAGGCACCCTTTGTGTCTTGCACATGTGTTACTGCACAGGCACCACAATGTGGACCTGAGGCAGGAATGATGATGTAATGCTATTGCCATGGCTAGGCACAGGCTGAGCAGTTTAATGAGTTTGGCTGCAGAGATGTGATGTCTGGACAGCTTTGATGCTTCTAGGGCTAACAGCTTTGTCAGCTCGTGCTTCAGGCAACATTTCTAGGTAGGGTGCAATACCATCCCAAAGGAAAAGTTGATAGCAGGCCATGATACATTGGTAATTGACAATCCTGAGCCAAGGGGAAAGGAGATATAGAGTTTTCTGCTTATTCCGTCTGGTTTACAGCCTTTTTTATAAATA